GCTGATATCACAGAATGGTGTGGGTTGGAAGGGACCTTAAAGACCATCTAATTCCAACCCCCTGCCATGGGCAGGGACACCTTCCACTAGACCAGGTTGCTCAAAGCCTCATCCAGCCTGGCCTTGAACACTTCCAGGGATGGGGCATCCACAGCTTCTCTGGGCAACCTGAGAAGTAAAGGTGACAAACTCAAAGCTTCAAACTGAAATGAGAAACTAAGGTCTTTGGGGAAAAGAAAGAAACGACTCAAACATTTTAGACTGAAGAACCCAAATTTAGACTTGAGAACCCAAAAACAGAGAGGAGAAAGTATCCAAGTGAAACTGCGACTCCTCACTGCATAGGAAATTGGAGAGTGATGACACTGCATAGCAAAATTTGAAGAATAGGGCTCTCCTCATCCTCTCGAATATCTTTTCTGTATCTTTTCTACTTTGGTACAAGTTTTTTGAAATGTGATGACTAGAATCTCAAAGTGTGTAGAAGTCAGATACATCACAGGTTTGTATAATTGTGTTGAACTTTCCTTTCTTTCTATTGCTTTTGCTGGTAACTCCTAGAGACAGCGGTTCATTTCCCGACACTGAGCACTGAACATACTTTTTCAGAAAAAACAGCAATGATTTGTGAATTTTTTCCCTCAATACAGATTTAGAGCCCATTACTACATTAGCAGGATTATAGAGGAGACTATTTCCCGCCCTATTTTATGACACCTGTATCCACAATTACTTTTATTTACTCATAGCTACTTCCACAACCCCTTGTCAAAGAGTTGCCCTGGTTATCCCCACACTCCATCTTCTCCCTCTGCCAGACCACTCACAGATATGTCAAAAAGCACAAGTATTATCTTTGGAAACCTTAGCTGCTAGTTTCTCACACGTCTTACTCATATCTTTTGCTTCCTTCTTTTGTTTTCCTAAGGCAATCTTGCCTATTATTACCTTAAATTTTAATACAATTAAATATTCTTAGATCAAGACCTTCCTTAAAATTTCTTATATTTAAAAATATTAACATTGTCTTCTTCACATACTCATTGACTCTGCTGAGAATTCAGTGTCTTTAAACGTAACTTCTCTCTACAAAAGCCACTGTGACTTTTCCCAGTATATCATTTAGATCTGGTACTGACATTCATTCTGACGCATGGATGTTTCATTTAGTCTTCACAAGAGAGCACATTCCCAGAGCTGGCTAATTTACAAGTCTGAGAAGTATCAGTTGCAAACATTCAACAGAAGCCTGCTTTCATCTGACAACTTAATTCTCTTACAACTTAATTTACAGAAAGCCCATGTATTTTTTTTCTACTTCAGGGCTTGAAAAATTTGCTTTTTGCAACTTCTGCAAACCATTTTGGCATTATACAAAACTGACATTAGGAAGACTCTTTACAGCAACACCGAGAAGAACGTAGTACAACATAAATGTAGAGGAGTATTAACTGTATGTCACAATTATAAATAAAATGATAATTAAAGTAGACCAGGATGAAAAGGTGGGTAAGGACAATAGTGGCCTTGACCACAGAACAACTAAACACAAAAGGAGAAGGAGAACACAACAGGCAAGGAATCAGAAGTAGGAGCTTAAGCTGGCAAGGAGAGAGACTACATGAAAATCCTGACGGTGAGAGACAACTTGAAAAGGCAACACATGAACCTGAAGGAGTAAATACTGGTACTAGTAAGTGTATCAAGTGGAAAGCAAAGATCTAGACCAGCAAAGAGAGAGGCTGGAAGTGAGAGGATAACAGCAAGTGAGTTTAAGGAAGTAAGAAGAGTAAAAATATTTTTCTCCAGAATATGGACTGAAGGGCAACACTGCAGACTCAGCATTTTGTATTTTCAAGATTTGACACAATTACAAAGCACGAGCCTATTCCACACTACAAAAGAATTACAACACAGCATTTTTACTTGTTACTAATAGAGAAGTCTAAGTGACTCGAACCCATAAAGACTGTTCACAGAGATGCACCTGTGCCACAAACTGAAGCCTAATTTTAGTTTGGTGTGGGGGTTTTGTTTGTTTGTTTTTAAAGACCATGGGAGAACATTACCAATACAGCATTCAACATGTTTTCCTACCTTTGCATAGTATGATACAGTAAAGCTACACTACTCCTGACAGAACTGGTTTCATACTCATCAACAGTTTTCCATATTCATCATGGTATTTATAGAAAAACACTCACAAATGTACTTTCGCCAAATTTACTTTCCCCAACAATCCTTCACATTAAGATTACATTAGTTAATTTGCTGTTAAAATCAAAAACAAAAAGCTAAAGTGCAGATAAACAGGTATTTTTATTTAGTAACTAAACTGAGAAACCCAGGGTTTTTTTTTCCAGAGTATTCCACCTACTGAAAGCAGAGCTCTCACTAGCTTCAGATATAGCTCTGAACACTAAGCACTTATTCATGTCAGCCTACAGAACCGTAAACTGTGTACCACCTCCCAAGAGAGGCACAAACACTGAGTGAAGGTGCGGCAGAGGTGACTAGCCCAGCATCACAAACTCCGAGAAGGAATTTAATAAAGCAGCTTTCAGGTGTCTTAGTTTCATTTTCCTACGGCATTCTTTTCAACTACAACGGATTGCACCGCGATGTGAAAGAAAATACCTACCCCACCACCACCACGTTTTTTTATTACGCAGCCTGCATATACAGATTGCAAAATTAAATTCTGGATGTAAGACAGGAATCTTAGAGAGGAAAAATAGCATATGAACATACATCGTAATGCTTACATAGAGGGGAATTAACTGCAGACTATTATTCTTTCATTACTTAAAGCTTGACTACTTGATTCTTTTCTTTCTACAATACTTTTTATACGTTGTAAAAGCATTCTTTGAGTTACTGAGAAACAAAGCGCCTAGCGGAAAGGATGGCTAAGGTTCGACACGCACACAGCAGACGCCAAGGCCTGCGCACAGGAGCCGGGCGAGCAGCTGTCACGCTAGTGCCGCCTGCCGGCATCCCGCTCCCGACGGCCACGGGCTTCGCGCAGCGCTGGCTCTCATCTGCCTCCAACGACACGGAAGTAAACCAGCACCGGTTTTATTACCACTTGTCATACCCTCAAGCGCACACACAAATCACCTACTGTCACTGTTCAGTGAGGGCACGTTTAACTGATCCATCTGTCGTGTTAACCCTCTGCCCCGCGCAGTCAGCGGCTAAGAGGAAGGCAACGGAGAGCTCTCACTGCAACGGAATTCTGGTGATTCACAAGTTATTAACTACATGATATTCCAAAAGTTGGAAAAATAAAGTATAATATCAAAGCATTCTCCTTATATGCAGAATGTGGGTGAGAGCATAACTCTTACACTTAACACAGAACCTACAAGAATCCTTTCACCCCAGAGAGATCCCAGAATCACAGAAGTGTTTGGGCTGGAAGGGACCTTAAAGACCATCTAGTTCCAACCCCCCTGCCATGGGCAGGGACACCTTCCACTAGACCAGGTTGCTCAAAGCCTCATCCAGCCTGGCCTTGAACACTTCCAGGGATGGGGCATCCACAGCTTCTCTGGGCAACCTCTTCCAGGGCCTCACCACCCTCTCCAGGAAGAACTTCTTCCTGATATCCAATCTGCCCACTTTCAATTTAAACCCGTTATCATATAAAGCAGCAAAACCAAAGCAGAATTTTCACTGTCACACAAAAAAGTAGTTTGACAAAAACTATTCAATACTAGGAAAATTATATTCTTGTTTCTGTTTGAAAATACCAACATTAAAAAAAAAAAATCTGTGCAGAATAAAAGGCAGGAAAGTAACAGAAACTTAGTACTGGAACTGAAGCAGTGTAAGTATCAAAATGTGGTGTCTATTCCAAAATATACAAAAACAGACTCCAAAAGCTGCTTTATAAACCAGAAACATCTTAGAAAACAGACAATGAAGTTTTAAAAGAGAAACTGAAGTAAACAGTGTACTTTGAACTGATACAGAAAGAGATATTCAAGCCAAGTGACTTCAAACAGTTGTAGATAAAAAGAATAACCACCACACAGAAAGGATTATTTTGGATAAAACAGAATTTTTAGAGCATTAGATAATCCCAAAGAGTTCACAGACCTTTTCATATTCAGCATACGGTAAAGATGATCGCCCAGATCACCAGACAGATGAGATCTCAGCTTTATCACTACATCAATACAGTTCATAGAACCACGGAATGGTTTGGGTTGGAAGGGATGGGGCATCCACAGCTTCTCTGGGCAACCTGTCCCAATGCCTCACCACCCTCTCCATGAAGAACTTCTTCCTGACATCTAATCTAAACCTCCCCACTTTCAATTTAAACCCATTACCCCTTGTCCTGACACTACAGGCCCTTGTAAAAAGTCCCTCCCAGCTTCCTTGTAGGCCCTTTCAGGTACTGGACCCTGGACTTACCCTGGACACCGCAAAGTCTCTAGATTTTCCGGCAACTTGTTCAATCAATCCCAGCCTTGCCTCTTTACCTCCGCTGTTCTTTTCATCTGATCTCATTCATTTCTTACACAAGTCAAACCCTTCTTTCCTCTCCCTGACTTTCATTCTCAGATTCTGCTCCTGTTCTCTAGGCCCAACTCCCAGTCACATTCTTTCTCTTCCATTCCTCCCACTGTCATCAGGTCACTTGTCACAACCCACAAGCCCTTTCTCAGAAGCAGCCAGGTTCTGGAGAGGCACGTTCACTGACAACGCAGTGACCTTTTGCTGTCACTTGCCATACCTAGACAGCTCTGTGGGACAGCAACGCGCATGAGCAGTGGAACAAGTTGTGCTTCGCTTTCGTATTCCGTAACCGCAGCAAAGGGCACTGCCACAGCCTGGAGCACACTTGCTAAGCACCAGAGCTTCAGAGGTCTTTACCAGTAAAGGCAGTTTTTGGTAGCTGTCTGAAAGCCACGTTATTCTAATAATCATTAATGATGATCACTGTTTTAACCACTCAAAGTGCATACCACTACCAGAATAGCACCCACCTCTCATAGATGGTTTTTAACGTCAGCTGATCCGAAACACCTTCGGTCTCTTCAAGATGCAGTATGAGCCACGACGTTCTGTAGGGCCACTGCTCCGTGAGGTTGATCCAACTAGCCAGTCTATCCCAACTGAACGTGATCTGGTTAGCTCGCAATAAACGACCTAATGTAGCAGGGAAGGAGGGAGGAAACACAGGGGATTTTTTTTTTCCCTTTTGAAAGAGATCTTTTTTCTCCTCAAAGTAACAGCTATGGTAAGTCCTTTGACCTGATCTGCGAACTTTCTGGTATTACATTTTTAGCTCGGTAAGTTCAAAATCATCAAGTTGCACCTAAAAAGATCATTTGACAACAATTAAAATTCCTGCAAATACTGGTCAGAACATAAGACTCTCCAGAACTGTCAACTTCAGCTCCAAGTTAAACACTAATTACTATCATCCTGTTACAGGTGAATCTTGTTACTTTAACAAAACTCAACAGAGAATCTCACACAGCATTAATTTTTCAATCTAAAGACAAAAATAGTGCTAATACTATGAAGTATCTTCAGTGCACTGGCACATGGAATATGGTCAAAAGTTAAGCAGACAACTGCCATCTTCAATAGCCAATAATGTAAAATTCAAAGCTATAAACATAAGACTGTTTTAAGTTAATAAGGCAAGATATGAATTGCAAATAAAGTTAATTTAAAAAAAAGAATGCTACAGTTTATACATTTCAAGTTTTAGCAAATCTTTCAGAATGGTATTATCATCATAGGTGATGACATGTAACTTACAGCCTGAAGGCTCTGCTCATGAAGCTGTTCATGAAATAATCATATATAACCACAGATTATAGTACAATAAATGTGTTCTTGCAGGGATTTTTTTGTTTTTACAACTAACAGTTTGTTATACTTTCACATCTGCACTATAACATGCTAAAACCAGACATTTCATGCTACAAATTGTAGTGACAATGTTAAGACACTGCACATTTATTTAAAAGATTAGCTCAGAATTTTAGGTCTGTTGTCATGTATGAATTGTTGCTAAAAAGGGAAAAAAGGAGGGGAAAATGAGGAAAACATATTAACACTCTTCTATTAATTGTACTAGCATTAAGTTAATGGAATAGGAAATAAGATATGGGTTATTTTACTTAATTTAGAGCCACATTTACATTTAATTCTTCATAATCTGAATGAAGGTAAATTAGGAAAATCCGTATTATGCAAGCACTGGGAACCGAACTGCTGAGACAGCCAACCCCTCTGTGTTACCCAGGTTGGTTTGACAGACCTGAACCTCAGCTCAGAGACATACAGCTGTGTCCTTGTATCATACTTCCGAAGATGATCACCTCGGCACTCTACCGGACCTCAGCCAGTTGCACCTGCTTGTTGCATGCTGGAAATCAGTACTCCCAGATGCAGTGTTAAGTTGGGCAGTGGATGCAGCATCAACACTGCTTTAGCAGGTTTCTGCAACTTTTTTAATCAGTTCAGTTTTGGCCTGTGCCATTACTCTGTACATCAACTGGTAAAACAAACACCTTAAGTGAGACCTGAGATGGTTGCAGCAGGTTTCTTAGCTCCAGCTGTCTGCCGTGTAACAGAGACACCCAGTGTAGGCAGTATGGCTACAATCACCGGATGAAGAATTTAATGCATAATCTGTTGAACTCATCCTTCATAGGCCTGCAGGCAACTATTATTTCTGTATCTGTCAAAGTTTTCTTACTAAAATTCTCTCTTTGAAATGATCCAGCTCTCATTAGAAAATTAATATTTACTTTTTTACTTAAGCATTAAATGTTATCATCAAAAGACATAAGTCATATTTCTATCAATGACAAAGGTAATTAACATAATCTTTTATTGCTACTATTACCGGTAGAGTCATACTGTAGTCTTCCTAGTAATCAAATTTTATTAGGCTTACTGAAATCAGAAGTTTTACAGATTCTATTTTCATTAACATAACATTAATCAAATTATCACAAGCTCTGGGTTTAAATAACTAAAGCAAGAGAAGTACTTTCCTTTAAAACACAGTAATATTCATTTTGTTTCGCCATGTGTCCAGTGTAGTACCACTTGTCATTTAGTGAGATCCTTTACCATAAAACCAGGAACTCAGATTAAAAGACCTGAAGTGGCATAAAAACAAGTAATCCATTTTGTTCAGAGCACAGGGGCTGCAGAGAAAAGGATTCATGTAAACTTCCAGGAGCCTCCTTAAAGTGTAATGTAAGAAGCTGTAACTAGGATGAGGGTGTTAGGGAATAGCTCAAAAGGTGCACTGCTTCTTCTTAAAGACACCACTGATACCTACTGCGTCAACAGGAAAGCTGAAATTGCATGCAAGACTAAATGTAAGGAAAAGAAACCAAAACAAAAGCAGAAACATCTCTATAGTAAATGCAACATTTTTTCAAATAGGTCTTTCATATTTTAAAAGCACTATTTGTCCTTTCCTAAACTCGGGTGCAGGCAGAGGAACAACTGTTTACTGTCTCTTCAGTCATGACGCTACGCATTATTTTGAGAGTCAGTAACCTTGTGTACCAGTGGCAAGAAGCCTTCCTGAATTAACCTTCCCACGTGCACTCTCTCTTATCTAATAAACCGAGCTTAATATACTAAGTACGCATGCTAAATAGTACTGAAATATTTTTAAGTGTGAAAGACAATTCATTTGACATATCTGTGAATCCAATACATTTTACGGTTAGTCCTAGAAATTGTTAATATTACTTGTTTCACAGGGTCACTGCGTGGTTGAGGTTGGGAGGGAGCTCTGGGGATCATCTGGTCCAACCCCCCTGCTCAAGCAGGGCCACTCAGAGCCAGCTGCCCAGGGCCGTGTCCAGATGGACTCTGAGCAACTCCAAGGATGGAGACTCCACAGCCTCCCTGGGACTCCTGTGCCAGGGCTGGGTCCACCCTCACAATAAAACAGTATTTCACTAGCACCCGGTGATTAATGGCACTTTTCTACAAGGGTTCAAATCTTAATGGTAAAATTCAGGATACAACGCCTAGGACAAAGAAAACATGACATTTGATCCTTCTGAAAAAGCTGATGTTGGCTTTCACATGAACACAAAAATGGGTTAAGGATAGTGAAATTAAGCTCAAGCTTCTGCCAGGATATTGTTTTGCTGATAAAAGATCAAGCCAATTCTGAGTAAAGGTCCAAGTCGCCCCGAAGCCTCATACTGTACAATAGCTAACACTTATGTAAAAGTTTCAGAACCTGGGAAAAAGTAATATTCTCTTTTGTTCTTCCAGCCCCTGATGGTTTGTGGTGCATTGCTTCCTTCTATTAGCATTTGATGAATCTTACTTTTCAGGTATTTAATAGTTTCTTAATCCATATGACACCTTTGCAGAGTTATGCACCTAACTACACAGTGTGACAGGTAACTCCTTTTGTTTGTCCTGAACCAGTTAGCCGTACGGCTATTCAGGGCCTTTTAGAGTCGGCAACAGGAAAGACAGTAAATAATCACTCCCCACTTCACCTACTACATTAAACATGACTTTATTAGACTTCCCTAAGTCCTTTTCCAGTTGATTCCAGTTTTTAAACCTCACAGATACCAATGTCTTGATTGTGTTCTGTTGAAAGAAAACAGGTCATAAAATGCCCTAGACAACCATTTAGGAAAAAAGGACTCCAAATATCCATAGCAAAAATGTAAAGGAGACCTACCTGCTTTTACAGTTTATCTTTTAAGATACCAGCACTACAAGCTTTTTTCACATTAGACAATTATGAAATTGAAAAATATATTTTGTCATCCCACTTCATAATTTAAAAAATATAAAACTTTCTAAAAATGTAGACTAGAATCATTTGCCTCCCAACTGAATTCAATGAAACAAGGTACTATTTTTTTAAATTCTACATAGAACAGTTTTTGCTTGCACTGTAGAAAAGTTTGATTCAGAAGGATTTTCAAAATCAACCCACAGACTGACTTGTCCATTACACGCTAAAAAGTCTAACCACAAGCATCCAAAACACAATACTGTCTACCACACACAAACATGCCACACTCACCTGTCACCGAAACAATATTTAGCAATCTTCTCATGGTCTGAGGACTGATATCACTGAACCAATCCTCTGTAACCAACAGCTTGGTCAAATCAAAAGACATTTGGCGGGTAATGGTACGTTGCATCTGGCGCCTTCGGTAAGTATCCTGATAATGATTACAAAAAAGCAAGAAATACTACTTACTATCAAAAAGTTCTACGTATTTGAAATACTTCAGTTTTACTTGATTATGAAATGGGAACCTTTGTGAATACCTATCTGTGAGGTTGACATGAAATTGAACTCATGAAGTTCAACAAGGCCAAGTGCAAGGTCCTGCACCTGGGTTGGGGCAATCCCAAGCACAAGTACAGGCTGAGTGGAGAGTGGATAGAGAGCAGCCCTGAGGAGAAGGACTTGGGGGTACAGGTGGGGGAAAAGCTGAACAGGAGCCGGCCGTGTGCGCTGGCAGCCCAGAAAGCCAATATTCCAGGCCAGGCTGGATGAGGCTTTGAGCAGCCTGGTCTAGTGGAAGGTGTCCCTGTCCATAGCAGGGGGGGTGGAACTGGATGATCTTTAAGGTCCCTTCCCACCCAAACCATGCTATGATTCTGTGAAATACCATAAAAATATTTACCAGACTTTAATTCTGATTTGACTGTGTAACAATGGAACATGATTTCCATATAAAATTGTTACCAGTTTCAGCACTATCATCATTTCCTACTCTCTTTGGAAAAAAGCAAAATACCATGCATTTAGTAATTACATTTTAAATTAAAGTTAACATAAGGTTCTCCTACAGAACTCCCCATATCTCTTCCTGTGGCAGCTCAAAAACCTCAGAATCCTCAGACTGTGCTGCTTTTCACTACTTCCCAGATACCTTTTATTCGACCACTTTCTGATTTTACGTATAGATGGGAAAACAGAACAGATGGTAGGACAAACTGTGGTGGACATGTTGCAGTAGAAGTCTCATGCTATAATAGTCTAAATTTCTTCATCTGCTCAATTACTGCCCCTTGATGCAACATCCTGTGACAAAGTGACACCAGGCTTATGCAGAATAATCCAAAGTCTACATACGTACCAAGTCTACATATATACATAGCTACTACCAACATGGTGTGTCATCTCTGCATTCACAGGGAGCTGAATTTAAGTATTTGTAGAAAAGATCACTTTGGTGAGCAAGCAAACTTTTCCCTCTTTGATAGAGCATCAGCCTACTAATTTAAGAACGTGCTTTTCCTACATAGATCATTTATATTGATTTCATAACAGTGGTTTGTTAAGTCTTCCAAGTTGACAAAATTGAAAATGTAAAGAGAAAAGGAAGGGGTAGAAAAGAAGTATTACCAGTATCTTCATTTAGTCTAAAAATTTTTCTCACCCGCCTATTGAGAGCAGTTTTGCTACCAAGCTTGGTCATGTCTCCAAGACTGTTCTGAGAAACTCTCCTGTCAACCTCTTCATGCAATCCTACGGAAAGAAAAAAGGCAGGCATTTTCTCCATTCATACATATTTGACTGATGTCTAAAACACCACCAATGAACTGCTAATTGTTTACATTGTTTCAAGAAAAGGAGTTTTGGAACACTGGCTCTGTACCTTTCATACCATCTCTTGCATAACCTTACCTGCATTATCTGTATAAGGAATATCCCCATTGGTTGTCGAAGCCATCAGTTTTTTTGCATTACTAAGCCCCCGGCTATTCAGGAAAACTGGCAAATGGACAATGTTTCGCATATAATCGTGTCCATTTATGTTTGAATCACGTAGAACACTGTTGAGATTCTGGTTAATAGCCTTTATAATAATGTGTGGGTCACTTGCAAAAATAGCAATAAATGGGCCTTTAGAAAACAAGACTCGGACCTGTAAAAAAGTAGACAGTACACCTTGTTAATCAGAATGAATAGTAACCGTGGGTCATGTAGGTGTCTGACACAACATTTTACATTCATTCTGTTCAAGTTATAAACTTGAGAGAACAAGAGATGTACAGATGTGTCAGTTTCTTCAACATGAGATACTGAATGCTAGGAATTCATCCGCAATTGGAAATAAGCACGTTTGACAAATCAGCTTGGTAGTTACAGTGGATGTCATCACCAAGAAGGTATCACGTAGCAATGTCATTCGAGCTCATCTATAGAAGAGATCATCTTTATACAATGACCCCACTCACCGTATCAAGCATCTGTAAAACTTTGTCCTGCTCACAAGCATCCAACCCATCAATAATTACAACAAGCCGTGTCTGGTTCTGAGTGAAGCTGTCGATGGTTTTCGCCATTTTGGCCATCAGTTCCACCTCACATTTCAAAACCTATAAAAACAGAGAGACACTCTGTCTGAAACTCCCAAAAAAACATATAATTCCTTTTGCAGATTGCTGCTTGTCTCAAAACCACTTCAGTAAGATTACAAAAATAAACACTTATGAATACTCGAAGTGAAAGCCCTAAAATGTCACTTTCCAAATTCTAATTTTCTATTTGCAGAAAAAATACAGCAGAGCAGCATACTCCACTTCAATGTAACAAACTATCCTTACTTAAATGCCATTATAATCTTATTTTAAAAGAAAGTAATATTTATGCACTGTAAACCAGTATTTCAAGAGTAAACAAAAGAGTATTTGAAGCTTCAGACAATCCTCAGTATTTTTTGCATAAAATGTATGCTAAAATTATCTCCCTGTCTTCCAGCCAAGCATATCATGTTATTACACTAACGCTCACTAATTCCTATTCAGCATAGGCAGAATAAGTTCTTCAAGTTGCACATTTAACAACTACTCTTAATAATATAGAAACAAAGGTGGAATTCACCTGCCCTAATTTCAGTAACTACAGGGTAGACATTAAATCTGATCTATCTGCCACTACATTAATCTTGAATACGCCCGTTCAGATGACAAAAGTCATATGAAGAACTCCAGAAACACCTACTTCTCTCCTTTGATTTCAAAGGGTGAGCCTAACTCCTAAGTGGCTGAAACTGACAGATAAATACCACTCAATAAACAATGGTCAAGAAACACAGTGGCAACACACAGGCAAGGTCTGCTGTGCTACAGAAATATTTGCACAACGTATCATCATACAACATATTAGCTCTGATCTACAGATCTAATCTACGGAGGTATGCTGTGTTCAGCCAGGAAAGAGTT